AGAGGATCCAGAGGAGGGCCACTCGTATGGTTAGGTGTTTACACGACAAGCCCTATGGAGACTGAAGTACCTCTTCAGCCTCCGTAAGAGAAGGCTGAGAGGTGATCTTGTGGCTGCCTACAAATTCATTAGGGGGATGCAGCAAGGGATCAGAGATGCTCTGTTCACCAGGGCGTCTCTTGGGGTAACAAGGAACAGTGGTCACAAACTGACAGAGAGCAGATTTAGGCTAGATATCAGGAAAAACTTCTTCATGGTAAGGGTGGCCAAAACTTGGAATGTGCTTCCGAGGGAGGTGGTGCTCTTCCCTACCTTGGGGGTCTTTAAGAGAAGGCTGGATAGGCATCTGGCTGGGGTCATCTGACCCCAGCCCTCTTTCCTGCCTAGGCAGGGGTCAGACTCAATGATCTGTTGAGATCCCTCCCAACCCTAGCATCTATGGTTCTATGAGTCACAAAGCTGAGTCAGCACAGACTATCCCCCTGGCTCTGCATCCTGCCTGGCCAGCTGTCAGCTATAGGGAGATAGCACTGGTGGGGGAGGAAGGTGTCTGTGTCCTAGCACCAGCCCTGGCACTTGTACACCTGCATCCCTGGGCTGTGCCCCCCACCTTATCACAAAGCACCCCATGATGTACACACAAACCTGATGCTGAATCCAGGAGAACCACTGCACATGGGCACAGCCCTGCAGGAGCCCAGCCTTGGCATCAGCATACCTACCCAGGGACTCCCATGACCCTGCATGTGGGAAGAGCCCCAATGGCAGCTCAGCCCTGGCACCCACAAATCACATCTCAGAACCTGGCACCTTGCAACCCATACCCAAGCATGGTGTCCTTCCAAACAAAAGCTAGTGTGGGTGGCTCTGTTGGGTCAGGGTGGCAGGGGACAGAAAATTAGGACTGGGCCTGCACAAAGGCAACTCTGTGACCTCCATGGCTTGGCCATTCCCAGCAGATATTGGCACCTGGAGTGCAGTAAGGCTTTTTTGGCCCACAGCTACTGGGTCCCAAAGTAATTGAGGTGTGTTGTGGGGGAGGGGGGAGTACTGACCATACAAGCTGGGGCAAGTAGGTAGATGCTGCTGGAAAAATCAGTAGCAGGTGGGGCATGACCAGCTGCCTCTGTGTTGCAGATAGAAAGCACTACAAATTTCAAGGCCAGAGCATGGGGCATTGCCAGAATCATCGGGTGTTGGTTGGAAGCCCCTGGAAAGTTTAAGGTTGTGAGGGTGGCCAAAGAAGCAGCCACCCCCAGCTTCAGTGAGAGGGAGGGTCATGTGCTGTAACCTGCACCTTCATGCATCCTCTGCTCCTTCTATCCATCCACCCTTTTAGTCTTCCTGCCACCCTTCCATCCTTCCATCCACCTCCCTGCAGTCAGACCCTCAGCCACTCCCCACAAGTACCCTCATGGACCATGGATGACCCTGTCCTGTCCTCCCTGACTACCCAACTCTGGTCACAGAACCGGGATTATGGGGAGATGATGGATCTCATCACCATCTTGGATGAAGAGGAGATCCAGCACCACCAGCACTTTCTGGAGAAAGGGCACTGGAACAGGGATATCTTCAAGTACATCTCTCAGCAGATGCAGGAGTGGGGCCACAACAGGGACTGATTATAGTACTGTGCCAAGACAAAGTTGATCAAGATGAAGTATACCAGTGTGCATGAAGCTGACAAAAGATCTAAATCCCAGAAGTAGACCATGCCCTTCTATGAGGAGCTATCCCACTTCCTTGCCAAGGGCAGGACCATCGAGTGCTCACCTATGGCACCACCAGGGGATGGGAGGAGTTTTCAGCACAGACCCTGCCAGAACAGGAGGCACAGGAAGACGCTGGGAAGGTGGGACACCCCCAGAAGGTGCCTAGGAGTAGGTCCCCCGGGGCCACAGGGTAAGAGCACAGCTGATGGGGCTGGCCCTATTAGTGCTGGTCCCCACATCATCACAGTATGTGGGAGCCAATGTGCACATGCAGCTGGTACTGAGCTCCCTGGACTTCTTCTTAAGTGCGACTGAAAGCAGGGAGGGTAGCACCCAGGAACAGGAGAAAAACTCTGACAGCATGGAAGTGGAGACCCAAGACCTGGAGTCTGGACCTGTGCTCTCCACGTCATAGGAGCTTTCCCCACACAGCCCAGGTCCACAACTGTGCAGACCACAGGTGAGGACCCAGGACCTGGGACGCTGTTTCCCTCACTGCTGCCTAGGCTGCTCCACTCACTCCCGCTCCTCTGACACCTCACTGCTCCCCTCCCAGCTGTGCAGAGTGGCCCCTAGCCCCTCTCCCACTAATGCAACAGCCGCTTCTGCGGCACAACCCACAGGCCCCGCAGCCAGCCCTCCCCGTACTTCTGCTTATGGCTACGGCCTAAAACTAGGATGCAGTGCAACCCAGGATGGTATGTTTACATCCACTTCATGTGGCCATGATGGGGACCCAGGACCTGGGGAAATGTGGAGCCCCTGGAGAAAGGGAGGCAGGGGAAGGAAGAGGTAGTGGGGCTTCTCAGGCCATTGTGGCTGAGAAGCCCAGAAGAGATGGGGGGGAGGGCATGAGACCAGGAGTAGAGGGGCATGGGGGGAGGGTGAATCTTCCTGGCCAGATTGCTCAAAGCACAGGGCTCCAGGACACTAAATGCTCAAGAGGTTTGTGTTTTTCAGCAGTGAGTAAACCAGGGACCTCCCACCCACCTTCCCACAGTCACAGCCCTATCCTAGTCCTGAACTTCCCCCCCTCCCCAACCCCTGAAAGCAAATCCATCCCTCTCCTCACTCCTCCCATCCAGAGTATTCATAGTAGGAGAGTAGTGCTGTAAAACCAAGGGCAGTGAATAGCAGGATACCTCTGAGGCAGCTGGGGCCTGGGGAACCACCCCCATGGCCAGGTCATGGGCTCAGCAGCATGTCAATAACAGTGGCAATTGTGAACTCTTCTGGCAGTGTCAGCTCATCATAATGGAGCCACAGGTAGCACCCAAGTAGTATTCTTTCATTGAATTGCAATCCTGGCTTCCCTGGTGTGCCATCAAAGCAGATTGCTCCCCTCCAGCACCTCTTGGGGAACCATGTCCTTCAGCATGAGCATGGCGCATTGGCTGGGGCTCCCCCAGGAGTAGTGGAGACCTCATTCCTCTGGACCCAGCTGACTTTCACCAGGGAAATGTTAGAAGCAGAGACCCAGTGTAGCAGTGACACAGTGCCAAACCGTCTCTTGTGGAAGGGAAACAGAGAAGAGAGGGCAGTGTAAGAACTTTGCTGTCCTAGCCAGGGCTCATCAGGACAATGTCAGGACCTAGGTTTTGTTCCTGCAGGAACCCAGCACTGAAATGCCTCTTTTGAAAGGGAAGGAAGGAAAAAAGACTTCCACTGGTATTCCCCAGAGTAGTCAGGCCCTGCCCACTCCAGGGATGGTCTAAGTCCCTGTGGGTTCCAGGGTCCCTGGACCCTCTGAGGGAGTGAAGCAGGTGCCCATTGCAGTGCCTGAAGAAGAATCTGGGCCTCCCTTCCCATTAACCCATCTCTACCCTGCTGAAGGGCCTGCTTCCCATCTGCAGCACAGCCAGGACCATGGTCTCTGCTGTGTTGTGTGGAGACCAGATACATGGCTCCCAGCCCTGGGTTGGGGAAAGGTCCAGATGAGATTCACCATAGCTCCCTAGGTGTTTCTGCATGACTGCCCAGGCAAGTGATGAGAGGGTCTGAGACATTTCCCTCTATACTTCATTTTTATCAGTAAAAGTTGCAACCTCTCACAAAGGCTCTGTGTCTCCTCTGTCTTTCTGCAGAGACACCACCTGTGCAAGAGAGTACAGTGCATGGTAGAGGCAATGCTGGTCCAAGGCCAGGGCCCCACACAGCAGCAGAGCACATGACAGCTGTCCAGAGGAGGCATTGAAGAAGCAAGGAGGAGATGCTGCAGGCCTTGGTTGCTGCCTCTGAGCTCCAGGTGTGCACTACTGACTCCTGGTCCCAAGAGCTGTGTGACTGGCATGAGGAGAGACAAGATGTAGAAGAGGGATATGCTCAGGGGGGGATGCCTACACCCAGGCTGCCAATGCACAGGAATGGGGAGGGGGTCGAGATGGCCACCCACTGTTTGTAGGAGGCAATTTATGCTACTGCAGAGCTGAGAGAGTCACAGCAGCAGGATTGGGAGTTTATGGACAGGGTCCTGGATTGCTTTGCATCCATCTATGACACCCGTGACTGGTACCAGTGCTGCCTCCCACAGACAGCTGGTAGTTCTCCTGGCTGGGAGTGCTGGGAGGGGCTGCCATGTCCCACTCAAGGGATTCCTCTCAGGGACAACATGAACAGGAGTCCTACTGAAGGGACTCCTAGAAACTGGCTGGCAAGGAATGCTCCCCGCTGTACCCTGTGGCTTCCCTCCTCCCCAGGTCAGGAGGGAAGTGGTGCAACTTTGGTGGGGATAGGCAGCCCCTGGGCTTTGGACTGCTGCATGACATGGGCCCTAGGCATGGCCAGGGGACATGGGTCCAGGGTCCTCAAAGGAAGAGAATGGGCTCTGGGGTCAGGGGCCATGGGGCTGGATGTGCCATGAGGGAGAGCCAGGAGTCCATAGTGCCTGCTGTGGTGATACCCCTTGCCCCACAGTCTTCTCCCCCAATCCAGCAGCCACCTCCTTCCCCCACCCAGCAGCCCTGTCAAGTAGACAGTGGGTCTTGGATTACCCACCCATCCAGCTCCTACATGGAGAAGTCCCTGGTCTTCAATCCCAAGTTTGGGGCGTAGCATGCCAGGTGAAAAGCCCCCATAACCCATGAATCCCCTCCAGGGTTTTGTGTTTCTTGAGTTCAGCCCCTGCAGCATTCCTTCTACCTCAATCCCTCCCCATCCTAACCACCCCTTCCAGGTTCTTTCATCCTTTTCTCAACACCACCCTCCCCTGTCCCTTCCAAAGATTTGCTTGGTTTGTGTTAATTAGGAGGAAGGACCGAGATGAGACATGGGCAATGTTCAACAGATTTTAATTCAATGCACAAAACGTTTGGCATCTGCAACATTTTTTAAAAACTCAGGCATGTCTTTTCCTCATGTTGCCTTCCCCTGTACCCTGGTGTGTGTCCCTGGGGGGTGGGAAAGAGGAATGGTGTGCAAGCAGCCTGGCTTGTTGGCATTGTTGCCTGGGTTGCAGGGCCAGAGGAGCCCAGAGCAGGAGACCCATGGCCCAGTGCCAGGGCATGGGCACTCAAAGCACTCCAGCCCTACTCATCCAGGGAGGGCTCCTGATCCTTGAGGGTGAGCAGGTAGTTAGACAGGGCTTTGCAGATCCAGATTGCTGGCCATTGTGCAGGGCTAGTGTCCCCGCCATCAGCAGAGGGCTCCCCCTCTCTCCTATCCCTGCCCCATATGCTCATGCTGCCATGACTAGTATGTGTCCTGTCCCTCCTTGGCTCAGCCTTAGCAGAAGGCTTTCTCCCTGGTCTCACAGATGTTGTGGAGGACACATGCACTGGTGATGAGCCACAGCAAGTTTTCCTCGTCCACCTCAAAGTGTGCACTGGGAGCCCATCATTGCACCTTAAGGTGCCCAAAGGTGCACTCTACGGTCATGCGGCATCTGCTCAGGCAGTAGCTGAAGTACTTCTTCCAGTGATCCAACTACCCTCCATAGGGCTTCATTATCCAGGGCAGGAGGGGGGAAACCATTTTCCTCATGATAACAGGGTGGGTGATGATGCCAAAGACAAAATCTGGGACCCTGGGAGCATAGCAGCCCTTCTCTGTCAACCCGGAGACTGGGGAGTTGTAGAAGATGTAAGTATCATTGGTGCTGTCCGCCCAGCCAGAGATGTGTCCTGAGTGGTAAACAACACCCTGCAGGACAATGGAGAATTAGCCCTTGTGGTGGATGAATGCCTGGGTGAACTGGACCTGGCAGAGGATGGGGGTGTGGGTGCTGTCCATAGCCCCCCCCACAGTTGGGGAAGCCCATGCAGCAGAAGACCACCACCTGTGGGTTGACAAGGCAGATGATGCATTTGGCTAGGACATTCTGGATGACCAGGCACACCTCCCAGATGGCCTCTCTGGTTGTGGTCCTGTCCATGCCAAACTGGATGGCAATGCAATAGTAACTGCTGGGGGTGGCCAACTTCATGACAGCGATGGCCACCTACTTCTCTGGAATGAGAGGTGGCCACATGCCAACATCCTGGCATGAGATGTATGGGGCCACCTGGGCAATGATGTCCATGAAGTTGGCCAAGCACACATGGAAGGTCTGGACCTACCGTTTGTCTTCCCAGGAGCCCAAGACGATCCACTCTCACCAGTCACTGCTAGTGGCATTGGCCCAGTACCAGTGCTCAACTGTCTGGAGAACCCTAGTGACCATGGCCTCATCCTTGTAGGACACATAGAAGTCAATTGCCTAGTCCAGGATGCTTGGTGGGTGCGGGGTGGCCCTATATGGAATGGTCAACTGCTGGCACATGGGCACGAAGACACATGCCATAGCAATCCACTGCTGCATCAGTTCCAGGTGGGTGTGCATGGTGTCCCACAGCCTCTGGTGAGAGTCATATTGGCTGACAAGCAGGACTTGCTTCAGATCCTGGGTCTCCCTGCATAGGCACAGGCATTGGGATGCCATGGTGGGGTGCAGGCAGGCCAGGACCCTGAGGCATGCCATGATGGTGGGTGCTCACTCTGGGGCTCTTCTGGAAACCTAGGGAGTAAAGCACAAAACTTAGATTGCTTCCACCTTGTGCTTTTTGAACATCTGTACCTGGCCTTACTCTATTCAGAAACAAAATCTGCTGGTACTGGCAATTTTGCACCTCCAGAACATTAAGGCTGTCAGTAATAACTGTGTTATTTGAGGTAGCATGGGACAAAGCATCTCAGCTGTTAGCCTGTCAGTACAAATGTCCTACAAGAAAGGAGAGTGACAATGGATCTGTCAGCCCTCACAATATGATGCAAGATGTGGGAAAGAATTCACTTTAACTAATAGGTTTTGCTGAGAACAAAAAGTTATTTGACTGCTTGGAATAGAAGGGTGTGAACAAGAAAAACTGGTGAACTGCACTGGCTTGACATATTTGTTAACTGATCAGGTTCTATGGCAAAGGAATATGGTATAAATACAAAGCTTATATAATTAGACAGGATAGCTTTTCTGGGCTTTTGAAAAGAGCTCTCACAATGATCTAGTAGACATTCATATCTGGGCCTTGACTCATCATCAAGCTGTGATTTACAGCATACGCTTTTCTACTTTTGGACTAGGTCTGAGGTGCTGAACATGCCACTGCTCATCCAGAAATGGGGTTTTCAGTAGGCATGGTTCCAGGCATTTGGAAGGAGTTTTCTGCCTGACTGAAATTTCATTATCTCATGTAGTTGATTCCAAGCATTTTCCAAGGAACAGATAATCACATAAGTTTGTAGGTCTTGCAGGGAAAATTCCTGGAAATAATCTGTCCCCATTTCTTTCTCTTGAACCATTCATTTTTAGATTGCTACATCTTATAAGCCAAATACATCCTTGAAACCTCAGTTTAAATCAGCATGTGTGACTGAGTCCACTTAAATTCCATAATCTTTTTTTTTAATATTATTTTGCTCAAAAGTAAAGGACTGTATATGAAGGCCTCTCTGAAACAGACACAACGCAAAGACCAGAAGTGTTAGCTTACTACAAAGATGAACCAACATCTTTCAATATGCTCACTTAACTGTTCTGGAGAAACCATTTTTATGGCAAGAGAACAGTTCAGAACACTGTCCTCTCTGAAGAAAGAACTAAACAGGCTGTCAGTTATAATTTTGTTAGCTCAATAGAAAAGAGACAGACTAGTAATTAAATATATACAGACTGTAAATAGCCATAGATGTTTTAATATGTAGCTTGTAGTATAGTATTCAGCCACACAGTATTTCTGTGCCCTATATATAAGCCCAGACAACATGGAGCCTACAGGAAACCTGGAAGCCAAAGCTGGAAATTAAGTTGTGTTAGAAGCTGGTTTTTCTCCAGCATTATTTTCTTCAGTAAATGCCTTCTGCTTAAGCTGAAGTGGGATTCCATATTTCATGGCAGATGGTAAAACCTTGTTGTCACTACAATCGGTAGGCAAACTCATTTGTTTGAATCTGAGTCTACTCCCTATGTCATTGGTTCAGAAGTTCCACTCAAACGAACATAAAACTGAGACTGCGTGTCACACAGCTTGCAAAAGAATGGCAGATGGAAGAGCCAGCAAAAACAACAGGACAGACAATGGAGCAAAGTGTGGGCAAAGAGTAAGAAAGAGTAAGAAAAAAAAGAAAGAACGTAAGAAAAAGGGAATGTGGGAGGAAGAAAAATTCTAATAAAAAAAAAAAATCTTACCGTGTCCTCTTGATCATGAACGCAGTAAACAAAGAGCAATGAACCAACCAGTGTGTGATTGAATTAGCCTCTGTTGAATGTTTTTCGGATTGTTAACAGCAACTGGAAGCTCATTGTCAAACTGTGATTTACAGCTTAAATCTTATTTCCACTTCTGGACTCAGCCCAAGATATTGAATGCCATCCATGTTAAAAATCTTAATCTCTTTTCAAATCATAAAGTCACTACATGCTGCTGAGAGGAAGATGCATCTCTCCTGAATTAGTCAGGCAACAGAAGTAAAGGGAACATCAAGGAACACATCATCATTCACTCCATACGTCAGTCCTTTTTCTTAAACCATTCCAGTAAGCAACGCAGTACTCTATGTAGAGTACTGCATATAAAAGTATTGGAGTTTACGTTTTCCCCAATCAGCTCTGTGCATGTCTACAAAAAAGAATGTGCTTGAAAATTCAGCCCTACAGAGAAATTAAAAACTTTTTACTCTACATGGCTAAATACAGTATGTTGGAATTTCTGTCTCAGTGTCCTACAGTGTTTCTTTACCTATAGGGCCCATTATCAAGTTGGCATGGGATTTTAGAAAAAATTAGAAAAAGAGGGAATCTCACATAATTACTCATCTGAAATAGTTTGCCCTCTTCTAATAACAGTGCAGTGAATGACAGTGATATTAACCACCCCCTCCTAAAGAAACCCCAAAAAACTTCATCCTGTTTTCCCTAAAGGAAACATAATTTACTTCTGCAATCAGAAAGGACATAGTAATAGAACTTTCATAAAATCATTTATTTCCTTTGTTCCTGCTTCTAAGAGATTTGCTCTCTTTTCACCAGGAATCCAGGTCACCACCTAGACACCAGATGCTACTTCTGGACTGTACTAGGGAGCACCTCAGTAAAGGACAGTATTCCTACTTCATGGTCTCTACAAGCTGAAACAGTTGTAACATAAATCACCTTAGAGGCCCAATACCAATACGCTCATGGTCTCAGGCATTCCCCTCAGATCTGTCTACTGCAGCTCCCCCTGAGAGGAAGAGCTAAGTGTGACTAATTCCACTTTTAAAAGCAATTTTAACTTTCATAGCCAGGCAGACACCCACCTCTCTTATATCACAAGGTTGTAATTCATCAGAGAAGTCATTCTAGGACTGAAGAGTCAAAAGTAGAGATGTGGCAAGCATGTTCTAAAATAATTCTAGAAGTAGAAATGTTTGCATCCCATTAGCCCCAAATGCCATCTCATCCCATTAGCTAAACAATGAGCTACGAAGTTATTTCACAAAAAATGTGTAATTACTTTCTTGCTTGTTCACCATTAATTGAATGTGTGGCCAAGTGCTCCCCCATGTCTGGGAGCCCCATCAAATGACAAGGCTCACAGTGTTGGTAGCACTGTCAGCTGTGGGACTTGCAGCTGGTAGAAGGCTCCCTGCACCGCAAACCTCCTCAACTGCAAAGCTTGCAGCAGAGGCACTGTCTTGGTCTACAGGGCTTGCAGTGGGGGAACTGTCGACTGTGGTGCTCCCGTTGCACCTTTACCTGCCCATGTAGAGGGGCCCTAATTACAGATAAGATGCATCTTCCTTCAGGGAGCATACAGTGAACATATTTTGAGATTTAGCTTAACATTACATTTAAAAAATATTAAAATTATTTTAAGGTGGATGACAGCTTCCTGCTTTGACCATCTGATAAAAACCATTAAGAAATATCTCCAAAATTACACTATAGTTTTAGGGCATGTGTAGATGAAACAGGGGCCCTAAATTGAAGTGGTGGGGTTAATTTAGGGCTGATTAAATTCCTGTGTCATGCACACACCCCACTGACTTACCTGCCTCTCTGGCGGGGAGGGGAGGGCAAGCTGCCAGTACCTGGGCTGGGAGGGGTGGGAGAGCAGTCCCTGGGCAGGGGTTTCCCTCTGTGACAGCAGTGCCCCCCCCCGTGGCACCCACCTGCAGGCACCTAGCTCAGGCGGTCCCAGGGTGCACCACAGCCACGGAGGGAAGCACTGAACCTCTGCACAGCTCAGGCAGACAGGCTGGCGGTGGGGGGAATCAGGCTAGTCATTTTTCTTGGGTGGAGCCTGCTTCCCTAGGCTACTGCCAGGCTGCCCTCAGGGCTTCCTGCAGAGCTGTGGAGGTGTACAGAGCCTGGTGCTTCACTCCGTGGCTGTAGGGGCAGCAAACTAAAACTCCTCAAAGGAGGATTTTTAGTTTGCTGCACCCCAAGTCATTTAAGGTGCATTACACTGCTGAATTTCCAACAGCAGCTGGAATTAATGTGCAATACACTGAGGCATGCAAACACCAACACCATTAAAGCAGTGTAAAAGCATTTCAAAATGTTTTGACAAGTCTCGCTTTGATTCGAGACTATTTCGACGACCTTTGTTTCATTCTGATTTTGCTGTTTGAACCTTGAAATTGGTCAAAACAATGTCAGAACAAAATGACCGGTGAAATTTCGTACACCCCTAATAAACCCCTTGAGCTAGAGACTGGATTAGATGACCTCTTGAATCCCTTTCAGTCCCGGTACCCCGCACTAGATCCTGCTGGGGTTGGGAGGCAGCCCAGCAGGGCTGCTTCCCCGTCCCAGGTGCTAGAACACACCAGGGCCGGGAGGCAGCCCAACTGGCTGTGCTAGATTGCTGGACTAGATTGCTGGGCTGCCTCCCACCCCCGGTGCGATCTAGCGCGGGGCACCAGGAAGCGGCCCAGCTGGGCTGCCTCCTGCCCCTGGCACGATCTAGTGGGGGGGGGTGGGGGACAGGAAAGCAGCCCAGCTGGGCTGTCTTCCAGCCCCCGCAAAACTCAAAAGTGTCAAAACAGCCTTTCTGTTTCGATGAAATGGAATGGAACAGCTGTTTCAACTCAAAATGAAATTTGAGACAAAACATTGTTCCCTCGAACCGTCGAACCACAAGGTGAAATGGAATGGTGCCGTTTTGCACAGCCCTAGCAATTATCTCCATCTAAACTACCCCAAACATGTTTGTCTAGCTTCCACTTAAGGACTTCCAGTGCCAGATATTGCAAAACCTTTTGTCGTAATTTACTCCAATGTTTAAACACCCTCACCATTAGAAATATCTTCTTACTATTTAACTGAAATTATATGCTATTTCTATCTAAGTCTATTACTTCTTGTCATGTCTGCTGTGGATACAAACAGTTGACTACTTGTACAATCCACTGTGTTTGAAAACTGGTTCTGTTTAAAATACAGGTGATGCTGTCATCCTTTTCTGCAGACATACAGAAATATTCTATATGTTCACCCTGCTTTACCAAGTATGCAGGTGTGAGGTGCATCTTGTT